CTGGGGGTGGGGCGCTCCCACATTGGAGGTACCCAGAGAGAAGGGTTGCAGGTTGCATGGGGGGGGGGCTCTCGGGCAAGTCAGAGGGAAAGTGGTTCCCCGTTTCCTAGAGTGGGGAGCCCTGGCTGTCAGTGCTGGTCAGTTCTTCTCTTCTTTCTCGAAAGAGTGGGTTACAGGGACTGGTGTTGCCATTTCTCTCCCACTGCCCTGTCAGTAGGGGTTGGGCCTGTTCAGGTTCCTCTGTTCAGCCAGCCTTCCCCAAGCGCCGGGCACAGGACACCTAACAGTGGGGCAAAGACTAATTGCTCAGTGAGGGCTGAGTGTTTTGAATAGAGACTGAAACCAAAAGGGCTAGGCCTCTTGCTCTCATCTGCACTTGGGTGGCAGGCAGGGCCTGAAGGACTCATGACCATCCTCTCTCCCGTAGCAGCGATGGGGACACAGACAGTGTCAGCACCATGGTGGTCCATGATGTGGAAGAGATAGCCGGGACGCAGACCCCCTACGGGGGTGGCACCATGGTGGTCCAGCGTGTGAGTAGACACCCCATTCTTCTTAGCGCCTGCTGTGCACCCTCCTTGGCCCCAGCACTGGCCCTTTCCCTCTGTTCCTTTAGACTCCTGAAGAGGAACGATGCGTGCTGCATTCTGACAGCAACGGTTATACAAACCTGCCTGACGTGGTCCAGCCGAGCCACTCACCGACTGAGAGCAGTAAAGGTCAAAGCCCCCCCTCGAAGGATGGAGGCAGTGATGTAAGTGGGTGCAGGCAGGTCCACGGGGCCAGGGAAGAGCACTGGCAGTGGGCAGGAGAGTCCAGGGGTGCTCAGGGGCACTGCGGTGGGCGGGCAGAGCACCTGGGAGCAGTTAGCCAGGGTTTTAGGGGGATCTGGAGCCTGGGAACAAGAGCAGGGGAAGGGCCACAGATGGGGTCTCGTGCTTGCCTGACTACTGCCCCTCCCCCCACAGTACCAGTCTCGTGGGCTGGTGAAGGCCCCTGGTAAGAGTTCATTCACGATGTTTGTGGACCTAGGGATCTACCAGCCCGGAGGCAGTGGGGACACCATCCCCATCACAGGTGAGGATGGGAGGACAGATCTGCCCCCAAGTCCTGGAGAGGGGCACGAACCTCTGATGACACGGGTTCACAAAGCAGTCACAGCCTTCCTTTTGACCTGAGCACCTGCCTTGGCGCAGAGGCAACAAGGGCTTCTGAGGCTGCTTTGACCCAAGAGGAAAAACGCTCAGAGCAGCCCAGGGACCTGTGTGACAGAACAAGGCCTTTTGCGAGGCCTTGTAGCTGTTTGAACTACTCTGTGCATCTCCTCCAGTCTTTCCCTTTCCTTCTGAGTATTTGGAGGACCCAAGACCAAGTGTTAAGGGTGGGTTAAGACGAGACAGGGTAAGGGAGCAGCAGCCCACCTCCCTTCCCTCTCTCCCTGGCAGCCCTAGTGGGCGGAGAGGGCAGTCGGCTCGATCAGCTGCAGTATGATGTGCGGAAAGGCTCTGTGGTCAACGTGAACCCCACCAACACCCGAGCCCACAGTGAAACCCCTGAGATTCGGAAGTATAAGAAGCGCTTCAATTCCGAGATCCTGTGTGCAGCCCTTTGGGGTAAGCCAAGGCCAGGAAGGAAAAGAGGGATCTGGTGTGCCCATGTGCTCCTGGTCAGGTGAGGGCCTGGCTCTGCCTCTGATCTGCCCAAGGGCTCCTATTGCAGGCGTCAACCTGCTGGTGGGCACGGAGAACGGGCTGATGTTGCTGGACCGAAGTGGGCAGGGCAAGGTATATGGACTCATTGGGCGGCGGCGTTTCCAGCAAATGGACGTGCTGGAAGGACTCAACTTGCTCATCACCATCTCAGGTGTGTGTGGAGGGCGGGGCCGGGACCGAGGGGAGGAGGTCAGCTCCTCCGCGCTCGCACCATCTTCAGCCTGGGCGGAGGGCAACCTTGGTCCAGTAGCCAGAAGCTGGGGCCACCTTTCCACCCCTTGTGGTACACAGAAAAGGATGGCGGGGAGGTAGAATCTGGACCTCCAATGAAGGGTTGTGTGTGTGTGTGTGTGTGTGTGTGTGTGTGTGTGTGTGTGTCTCTCTCTCTCTGTCCGTCCTTACCACTCAGGGAAAAGGAACAAACTGCGGGTGTATTACCTCTCCTGGCTCCGGAACAAGATTCTGCACAATGACCCAGAAGTGGAGAAGAAGCAGGGTTGGACCACTGTGGGGGACATGGAGGGCTGCGGGCACTACCGTGTTGGTGAGGAGGTCACAACAGAGTGGCCAGGGCACATTTATTTATGAGAAGAGGGAAACGGGGGCCTGGGCTTAATGTCCTTGAAGACAGAGACTTGGGGCCTGGGGTTGGGGTGTAGTGAGAGACCTGTGGGAGGGGGCTGGCAGCCCAAGAAGGGAAGTCCCAGCATCCCTCTTCTTCTGCCGCCTCCCAGTGAAATACGAACGCATTAAGTTCCTGGTCATTGCCCTGAAGAACTCCGTGGAGGTGTATGCCTGGGCCCCCAAGCCCTACCACAAATTCATGGCCTTCAAGGTAATCCTAGCCTCAGACCCCAGCACTGTTCCAACGTCTGACTCCTCCACCTGTGTCCCCTGAGCCCATCTCTCCTCCACAGTCCTTCGCTGACCTTCCTCACCGCCCTTTGCTGGTCGACCTGACAGTAGAGGAGGGACAGCGGCTGAAGGTCATCTATGGCTCCAGCGCTGGTTTCCACGCTGTGGATGTCGACTCGGGGAACAGCTATGACATCTACATCCCTGTGCATGTAAGCGTGGCAGGGCTGCAGGCGGATTGGGACCACCAGTCTGGGCCCCAGATGCAGGGACTCCAGCCCACCTTCTCATCCCCAGATCCAGAGTCAGATCACCCCCCACGCCATCATCTTCCTCCCCAACACCGATGGCATGGAGATGCTACTGTGCTACGAGGACGAGGGCGTGTATGTCAACACGTACGGGCGGATCATTAAGGATGTGGTGCTGCAGTGGGGAGAGATGCCCACCTCTGTCGGTAAGTGAGGTGCCCACCCCTAAGCTGTGGCTCCCTGAGCTGGGCCAGGAGTCTGGCTGGGCTATAGCCCATTCACTGGCCCTCAACTCCTGTCTCCACCAGCCTACATCTGCTCCAACCAGATAATGGGCTGGGGCGAGAAAGCCATTGAGATCCGCTCCGTGGAGACGGGCCATCTGGATGGGGTCTTCATGCACAAACGAGCTCAGAGGCTCAAGTTCTTGTGTGAACGGAATGACAAGGTGGGAGCCTCTTGCCCCCTGGAAAAGGCGCAGGCCCCTACATTAGGCGGGCTTCCACAACTTAGGTCCCCACTAAGCAGGGGACAATTGTGGAGTCTTTCTGAAAGGGGATCCCTAGGGAATACAACATGCAGTCACAGCCTGCCCTTCCCTTGCCTTCAGTTTCTGTGGTTCCTTCACCCTAGGTCGGCTAGCTGCCCTCTTCCCCAAGCATTTTCTGCCCTTCAGAGGGGGTGGGGGGGCACTCTGAGACTAAACTCTGCAGTTTCTCCCTCTCCCCATTAATTGAGCCCCCCCCACCCCACCCATGTCCCCCATCCTCAGTGACCTCTTTGTCCCCACCCAGGTGTTCTTTGCCTCAGTCCGCTCTGGGGGCAGCAGCCAAGTTTACTTCATGACTCTGAACCGTAACTGCATCATGAACTGGTGACGGGCCCTGGGCTGGGGCTCTCCCACATGGACCCAGCTGTCCCACCACAGCCAGACTTCCCAGGCCGCCCTTCTTTCCCCTCCCTGGGCTTTTGCTTTTACTGGTTTGATTCACTGGAGCCTGCTGGGAACGTGACCTCTGACCCCTGATGCTTTTGTGATCACGTGACCATTCTCTTCCCCAATATGTTCTCTCCCCAAAACTGTGCCTGTCCCAACTTCTGGGGAGAGGCACAGCTTTCCCTTACCAGGAATTGAGTGGGCCTAGCCCCAACCCCCCTTTTCTCCACTTAAGAGAATTCTTGGGGCTTGGACCTGGTGCCCCACTGCTGCTGACTGGGCAGGGTCCTGGGCCCCTTTATTTGCACGTCAGGGGAGCCGGCTCCCCCCTTGAATGTACCAGACCCTGGGGGGGGTCACTGGGCCCTAGGTTTTAGGGGGGGTCACAAGCCGCTCCAGGGGCAGGGACCATTTCCTCATTTTCTGAAAGCACTTTAATGATTCCCCTCCCCCCAAACCCCAGGGAATGGAGGGGGGACCCCCGCCAGCCAAAACATTTCTCCCTTTCCAATTCCCATCTCTTCTAGCCTCTGCCCTTCCCTGGTGGATGGAGGGAGTAGGGAGCTCTCATCCCCCCACACCCTCTTGCTTGCATCTGTATATAGTGTGAACAGCAAGTAGCCCTGTCCCCTCCTTGCCCCTATCCCTCCTCAATGTAGTGGCCTTGGATATCCCGTTTGTTAATAAAGACAATTCAACCACCTTCCATCATTTCAGGCCCCGTTTTACTCTGTATTCTTTCACAGCCCTGGATACTAGCCAGGGCAAGCCAGCAGAGTTGGGATGAAGGTGTGGGGGTGGGATCTGCAAGAAGTGAGTCTGGGGGCCGGGAGGTGGGCAGTGCTCCACCAAGAAAACCTAGAAGAACAACTGAGGAAGGGCCAGGACACCCTCAGCTTTAAACCTGTGAATCTGTGGGTGATGTGCGCTGAGGCCGTTTGGTTCCTGCCCACTCCAGCAAGACCAGGCCAGAGGGGGACCTGGCTTCCTGGCTCCAGAACTCCCTAAGTGCCAATCTTGCAAAGGGATCTCCTGTGTAGCTATCAAATAGATAAAAGAGTTAGAAGCTCATAGGTCTGGAGGGTCCCATGGGGCCGAGCCTGAGCAAAACTGAGAAATCAGGCAAGGCTGAATCAAGGGTGGTCCGTGCTTTATAGAGGACTGGCACCCAAGAGCCTGCATGAACCATCTGCCCTCTTTCTGATCCCTGTGCGGTGGCCAGACCTACGCATTTGTGCACACATGTGTTTACAAAATACAGCTTTATTATCGGTAGTGGGGAAGGATCATAATATAGCAGTGGCAGCAGCGTGTTGTTCAAAATCTATTTCCCCGTGGAGATAGGTGGGAAGTTGAAATCATTGGAGCCATGGGCTCAGGTCTACATACACGGCGGGAAGGGCAGTTTGGGCACTTGGTTGAAGTAGCCCCCGAGGAAGATAAGGCTGGAGCCCACACTGAAGAGCACCAGAGCAGCCCAGAAGCAGATGTTGTCAAGGGCCTTCCCCATGCGCACCCAGTCGGACAGCTCCTGGGGAAGGGGAGGGCACAAGCTGAGTGTAAGGGCTGCAGGAATCTGTGGCACGAGAGCTAGTGTGTGTGTGTGTGTGTGTGTGTGTGGAGGGGGGTGTCCTCTGCAGCACACCACCCCGCCTCTGGCTCCAGCCTCACCTCGCCGGTGGCCTCCTGGTCTCGCGTGCTCTCGGCCACGAAGTTCACGGCGTCCACACAGCAGCGGATTTCGGGGGCGGCGGCGCCCAGGCTCTGGCAGAGGGCAGCTGCGGGAGGAGGGGCAACCCCAGGGGTTACTGGGAGCCTCCCCCTGCTGCGGGCGCCCGGGTTGGCCTGCCCGGGCCACTCTGCTCACCAGTCCAGGTCCCGTGCCGGTGCCTCTGCCCTTCGAACACCAGCTCGCTCCGCGGCTTTTTCAGTATCAGCTCCTCCGCACGGAGCAATATACCCACCGACGACGCCCGTCTAGGGGGCGAGGCGGCGCGCGGAGCATCCGGGGGCGCGCCCGAGCCCAGGAGGCGCGGCAGCAAATCCAACAAGACCTGGGGGCGTGGGCGAGGCGGGGCGGGGATTAGCTCGAAGCCCGGCTCCCCAGCCCGAAGCCGCCCACCCGGCGCTTACGTGGCGCAGTCGCGGGGACGTAGCGTGAGTGGTGGGCGTCCGTAAAGACACGTTGAGCACGATGACGCAATTCATAACAATAAGCGTGGCAACCACCATGACGAAAATGAGGTACCTGAAGAGCCCGGAGTGCGTGATAGTACAGCTTCCTCACCACTCCGGAGCCACAGAGGGCATCGCTTGTTCTCTGACCTCACAAACACACTTCTCCATAGGAGGTGGAGTGAGGCTCCCTCCGCTGCTCCTTTTTTGCCGGGCACACGCGTGCCCCGGCCCTTCTACCCCGCCTACCGCCCTTGGCAGCCATGAAGGGGCCCCCAGCTCCCTGGAAACCCTGTTGTGGGTCTACCACTTTCACAGCTCTACGGAGGTGAGGTGATGTCAGTGGCCCCGCCCAAAGGTGGCACCTAGAGACCCCTTGGGAAGGTCTCCAGCACCACCACCCCCGCCGTGACCAATGTCCTATGACCCAATGGCTCCACTGCCCCTGCTTCTTCTCCAGGTGGCCCTCCAGCCCCCCCTTCTACCTTCTTGGAACTCTCGGTGGCCGCAGCCCATTGAGTATCTGGAGCAGAGGTTCAGAGAGCTTTAGTCCCTGGAGCCGCGGGAGCCAAAGAAACCTCCCGCCCCGAAACCCACCCTGGGGCTGGTGCTAAGAGAAGCCGCAGCCAGCGTCTTAAACTTCGGCGCCACCTTGTTAGAGGTGGGGGCGCTGGAAGGCTGAGGAGGGGCGGGAAAGAGGATTAGGGGACTCTGCATCCTCACTAACTCCTGCACCCGCACTGCAGATCTCAGCTCTGTGGCTGCAGCAGGAGGCGCGCCGACTAGACGGCGACGACAGCAGCCTGGAGCCAGCCCCAGATGTCGGGGATCCGGGTGGAGCGCTGGCCCGGGTAGCCCAGGCCGCGGGGCAGGGGGCTCGGCAAGCCGGGGCTGCGGCGGGCGCGAGCGCCCGGCTCCTGCTCCAGGGGGCGTGCCTATGTCTGTGTGGACGGGGTTTGCAAGGGTCCGCCTCATTTCTGCAGCATTGGCGATGCCAGCTGAGCCTCGAAGCCCCCGGGGAGCCGGGGAGTTCGGGATTGGGGTGAGTTGGGAGCCAGAGGAGGCGCGGCGGGAGTGGCAGGCACTGAGCCGGCCCGCCCCCAACAGAGATAGAGACTCTAGAGACCTCAAGGTGGAGTCCAGCAGCAGTGCTGAGGACGGGGAACCAGGGAATCCCTCGCCATCCTAGCCTCACCCCGCGTTCAAATAAAGCCCAGGCGGAGACAAGACAGCTTAAGCTGCTCACAGTGCCTTTTGGGTTTGGTCCCGCCCTGACCGCGCCCCTCTTAGCTCCGCCCCGTGTCAGTCTGGCTCCGCCCTTCGTATTAGCCAGGACCCCATATGGGTACCGCGGGGACCCGCTTGCCCTCACCTGCCCAGCAGCGGCACGCTCAGAGACGTCTCTGGGATTTTCTGGGCAATCAGGAACAAGAAGACCGTCTGGGCGAGCAGGACGTTGATGGAGACGGTGCATTTCTGGCCTCCGGCTGGAGGAGGGCCCAGTGAGAGCAGCCCTTACCCCCCAGGAGCGACCCAGGGTTTAGGGTTGGGGTGACTCCTCACCCTGCGCTGGCAGGAAGTAGGCGAGCAGCACCAGGCCTGAGATGAGCACGCAGGGCACAATGATGTTAATGACGTAGAAGAGTGGCTTCCGACGAATGATGAGCGTGTAGATGATGTCTGTGTCTCCTGGACCATCAGGAGAGACACCGTCGTGGCGACGGATCACACCGGGGCAGAAGTCAATGGCCCACTCGCCGTTCTCTGCAGGACAGGTGGCGCGGTCAGCCCGCTCTCGGGGGATGGAGTGCCCTGCTCTGCTCTGCTCTGCGGCCCCACAACTTGACGGCAGGAACCTATAACTCCTGGCAGAGGAGAGGATGCAGCTATCTGGACCAGAGTGGGTGGGGCAGATGGTCTAGACTGCTTGGGCCATGTGCCATCGGCATGAGGGCAATTCGGGAAGAAAGGGGCATTCCTGGCGAGAGTACAGATTGACTGCGAGGAAGCAGGACTAGTCCAACAACCGAGAATGATTTCAGGAAAGAGGCAAGTTAAAGTACGGTTGCCAAAGTCAATCCCCAGTATTGATGGTCTAGGGCAGCGCCATTCTGCAAATCCCCTCTCTGGACTCCATCTAGAAGCCGGTTGTTTTGGAGCAGGAGGGGGCCTCACCAGTATAAGCCTCGGTGTCGATATCGATCTTGCTGATGGCCTCGCCACCGTCGTCCACAGCAAATACGAACTCCACCTCTTCAGCATTGTACGTCTGAGAGCTGCGGGACCCAGGGTCGGGGCCCCCCACCCCAGAAACTCAGACCTGGCCAGGCCCTTGCCTCAGGCCCTGCCCTGTAAGGTGGGATCTGGCGGGGTAATAACGCTCCAGCCCACTAATCACGCTTGTTTCCACCCTTACTTCTAACTCGGCGAAACGGCTCCACCCAATTCTAGTGTCTGGTCCCAGCACAAAGCCCCGCCCCCATTTTAGAGTTTCCCCATCTGGCCCCGCTCCCCGCTCCCATAATCCCTTAATCGTCAGGGCTCTCTGAGTAACTCTTCCCACCGGAAAACGAGTGAGCAGTTCTGCCAGTCGAAGGGGAAGTACGTAACTTCCACGGCGCAGGTGCTGCGGTAAATAGCCGGGGGCAACCAGCTCACGTAGCCACCCTCTTGGACCAGCACGTTGGCATCGTAGGCAACGCCGAATTGGCCATCAATACTGTGGGTTCCGGGAAGCCCAGCGTTTGCGGAGGTCCTTGGCTCCCCGCCCTCTAAGCAACCCTCCTCCCCCTACCCCAATCAGGTCCAGCCCAGCACCCCCAGGCCTCGGTTTCCTTCCAGCTTGGCTTCCCCCCAGTCCTCACTTGTTTTCCAGCACAATCTCTGGTAGCCACACGAGATTTGCAGGGACCCGCAGGATTTGTATGCCCCCAAAGTCGTCCTTGCTGTAGTTGAGTCGGTAATCATGCCAATCCTAAAGTAGGGACGGAAGATCCTGTGCCCTGCATCTCCCACCTGGGGCCTGCGAGGAGTTTGGGAGAAAGGGGTCCCCTGGACAAGACCTCTCACACTGTTCCCCACATTTGACTCACGATTCCAATCCAGACGCTGGTGGTGAGGGTCTCCTCTTTCTCGTTCTGTAGATAGGAGATTAGGCTGATTGTAGTGCATTTCCAGGGCCAGAAGTGAGCTTTAGGACAGCTCAGCAGCTGGGGCCAGAAGTGGAATTTTAGCCTCAGTGGTGGTGCTTGGGGTGGAGATGGGGTATCTTACCAGTGAGATGAGGTTGGTCAGGGTGACCTTGAGGGTAATGGTGACAGTGTCCTCAGGCCCCGTCACTGGCCGTTGTCCTGGGTCATAGTTGTTAAAGAGATGGTGATAAAGATGCAACTCCTCATTCTTCCCCTCACCTCTGCCTGGGGATGGAGTCAAGCAGTGGAGTCACTAGAGATGAAGAGGCCACGGGGTCTCTCCTCTGTCCCCTCTGGGTATGTGCAGGGCTCTGCTTCTCTGTGTATCTGTCTGAGACGTATTTTTTCATGTGTATCTTCTGAAGCAGTGATATTGTGCCTGGGGACCAAATATTGCATCCCAGTCTACATCTTGGTTTTTATCTTTGTCCTGTCCCTTTATGTTAGTATCCCTATGTGTCCAACCACTTCCCAAAACCCTGTTCATACCGAGGAGCTGTAAGAGGAACAGGACGCTGAGCAGAACCCCTGCCATCCTGCTGTCTGGTCCTCAGGGTTATTCTGAGCTTTAGCAGGCTTGGAGCGGGACAGGCCAGGGTACTGAGTGAGGGGGAGGAGAGTGTTAGTTCCGGGCTGGGTTAGGGGACTGTCACCTAATCCTCTTACTGCCAAGGACATTTTGGCTGCTTCCAGAGGCAGCTGCCCCATCCTGTGTTCCCTACCCCCGCCCCATCCCAGCATCCTTTGCCTGGTCTTCTGCCAGCTCCCCAGCCACAGACCTGATCTTCTTATGATGAGCAGGCTTGATTCAAGAGCACCTGGAACCATAAACCTGGCAGCGGGAGATGGGAGGCCCTCCTTTCAACATGCAGCTGTGTCCTTTGAGTAAGCGTCTCTCTGCAGGTGACATCCCTTGCCTTCCATATTCACCCATGTGGTACATTACCACCAGCCCCAGCCTGGCCAAGGTCACACTGATGCAATTTCTGCTGGCCAAATTTGGCAAAAGCAAAGTGTCTATAAAGATCTGGTAATGAGACAGGTGGTCACAGGGGATTAGCCTGCAATAACAGACTCCACAGGGGAAAGGAGACGCTGCAATATAGGGCCCACCTCCTCTCACAACCCATCCATGTCTGCCTACTGCCAGCCCCTCAGGGGCACCTGCCAGACAGGAAAGTTTCTCTTTGCCTCTCCCTGCTGCCACCTCGTGGCCACATATGATAGTACTGCCTTTCCCCACCCAATACACATACACCTTATTTGATCCTTTCAGTGTTTCTTTTTTTTTTTTTTTTAAAGATTTTTATTGGGGAATTGGGGGGATGGAAACAGACAAGTTGCTATTGTTTTTTGTTCTTCAGTCTAGTTGTGGAGGACATTGCTTCACTGGCCCAAGTTGGCACCATCATTGCGCTCTTCCTGGGCGAGGCAGGTCAGTCGCCGGCTTCTGGACGGCCGCTCACTGCGGCTGCTGGCCACTCACACTGGCTGCCGGCCACACACGGTAGCCCATGGCAACCCACTGCAGCAGGGGCTGCAGCCTACGCCGTCGCCAGCTATTCATGGCAGCCCAGCTCCAGGTTGAGCTGTTGTTCAGCATCTTAGCTGTGGAGGGCAGTGTCACTGGCCCTCATATGTGGGATCCAAACCGGGGCCCTCTGGAGTCCCAAGCCAGTTCTTAACCATCGCGCCACTCGGCCGGCCCTTTCAGTGTTTCTTAAAGTCTCCCTGGTCCACCCTAAGCAATCACCTAGAACGCTTATTTAAAATTCAGATTCCTAGGCTCCATCTTCAAAGAATTCCAATTTAGGAAGATGGCGGAGATGGGGTGCCAGGAATCTGTTTTTTAAAGAAACTATCCATATGATTACTCATGGGTGGGAGGTACCAGACTAAACACTTTTCATGTCTTGCACATTGCTTTCTCATGCCAATCCAGAAAAGCCGTTACCATTGTCCTGAATGTAAAAAAGAGGACTCTAAAGTCAGGTGCAAGGTCACACAAATAGATTGGCAATAATGCATGAGACTTATCAATCAACTTTATTAATCATCTACTCGTATACCTATGTTCATTTTACACTTCACAGAACACTTTCATGTCCATTTTTGGGTCTCCTTCCTCTACTGTGAGATCCCTTCTAATTGCTCCCTTGTTACAATGAGGACACTAAACACCGGAGGCTCCACGCAGCTCATCCATTTCCCACACATGCTTCCACTGCTAACTGCCTTATCATTCCACATTTCCCAGAAAGAATCTATTTGACCCAACTCACCCTCCTTACATGTGACTAAAATATGTATTGACTCTAAAATCTGTGCTGCTGCTTATCGCAGTCTCTGGGCCAGGGGCTGGGCCAATAGTTGTGATAAATACAGATATTTATTCAAACATTAATGGGCACCTGCAAGGTTCCCTGCACAGGGCCAGATGCTATTATCATAGAGATGAGCAAGACATGGTCTTGAGGTGAAAGGAGAGACCTATCAGCAGACAATGACATCAGAACTGTCAAAAGGGTAAAACAAAACAACAAACACAGGAGCCATGAAGCTGTAGGTAGCTTCTTTGTGTTACAAGAATCAAATCCACAAGCCAGGTTTCCTGCAGGCTTACACATGGACTGGGACAAACTGGACCAGTGTCAGAGGCTAGGGCAGCTCTAGGACCAGCCATTCCCGCTTCTCCTATCTCTGCTTTGTTTGCTGTGCTCCTCGCACTCCTGACCCGTCTGCCTGTTCTCTCAACTTTGCAAATTTATACTGTGTGGTTTCTGCATCATTTCACCATAGTTTTGGCCCCAAGTCGACCCCTTGGCTTTTCTCTGCAGATGCAGCCAATTCAACTTTCGCTGCCATTGTTACCTATCTGATGCCATGAGGCTATGGGTTCAGGTATGGTACCGTCATGGGGTTGGCCTAAGACAGCCACATTTACCAAGGGTGGTAGGTGTGGCTACATGTCCAGAGCCTTCCACTTCTTACTAATCCACCCCACTGCCTACATATTTAGTTCCCAAAACACCCTGTCATGACCCCGTTCTCACTGCTATGACTAAAAACACACAATATCCTCCCCAGCAAAATTGAAACTTGATGTCTTGCTTCCAAAAATGATTGTGGCAGGGGCACTTCAAGACAGCTCTCAACCTCAGAGTCCAATGTCCTCAGGTTCATGTACAGTCTCCTCCAGGTGTGATTTACATTCGTTCTCCAATATATGGACTAAATCCTCAATTTAAATCACCATCACTACGTCATGTATAAACAATCACATACACACACAGAGCCCACATCATATAAGATACAGCAATGGGACAAAACCACATTTGGACTAACAACTTACATGTGGGAGAGTAGTTTGGGGTCGAAGGAGAGTAAGTAGAAATCCTTGTCCCTTGATGCCCAAGCCCATGTGTTACAGCTTTATTATTGGCCCAACATGTATCACGTTCCCCAGCACAGGGCCTTGCTGTAGGGTCCCCGACTGGGATTATAACCCATGGATGGTGGCCGGCCTTGCTCAGACCAGTGAATCCCATGGGCATCTCTTGCAAAGTCAGCACATCAGAAACCTTCTCCTGGGGAGTCTCCAGGAGGGGCTCTTACCCGGAACCCCCTCCCCTCCTCCCATCCCCCTCCCCCCCATCCTCACCCCTGCCACAGTCCATCCCCCTGGTGCTGGCACAGACTTGAGCCACTGTGTGTGTGTGTGTGTGTGTGTGTGTGTGTGTGTGTGTGTGTGATTTCTGTTTGCTCAGGATGACAATTGCCTGAGGGACTGAGACTTCCTGCCAGTTGGTGGAGTTAGGTACCTGACTCAGGCCTGGGTTTTGTATTTTTATAATGAAAATCCACAGAATTTTAGGGGGTTGCCTGACAATTTTGTTTCTGGGGACGCCTTGGCTTCCTTCCAAGCTAGACCCAAAGATCTTAGCTCAACAGGAAGCCACTCCCTTCACCTACTGGCTCTTGGCTGGTATCTCAGAACTGCTACAGCTGCCCCCAGCGGCCAGGCCTGCCAAGCTTCTGTTTCTTAGTCATCAGTGTCCTCACCGTGGAAACATCCCTAAGCTGTTCTGATGAGGGCACCCTTTACATGCAATAAAAAGAGCCCCTTTTTCCTTTGTGAATGGAGAGAGTGGATTGGCTGAGCTAGGACAGCAGGGGGGGGGGTGTTTGTGTGTGTGTGGGTGGGCTGGGTGGAGCAGACACTGGCTTCTAGACTGTTTCCCTCACTGGAACCTAAGCTCCCTGATCACTGAGACCTTGCTGGTTTACTGTGTTCAAGGCACATAGCACAGAGCATAGTGCAAAGTAGGCGCTTGATAAAAATTTACTGAACAAATGAATAAAAATAAAGGAATGAGTACCTTACCTTCCCAGCACCCTCCCTGCTACTAAGAACTGTTCTTCTCCAACTATGTGACCCCAGGGAGTTTACTTGGTACTTAGAGACACCCCACCTCTGGCCAGAGTTGATGGGTACAGGAGAAAACACCTAACCCAAGCCAGGCCAAAGAATGCCCTTCCCTGAGAATTTTGTCAAACAGGAACTGAGGAAGCCAGTCTCTTTCTGCTGTAGGAGCTGCAAGATATGAAATTTAGATGTACAAGGCGGCCATGTCATTCCTCATCTTTTTTTGTGGCTGAGAGAGAATGTAGCTGGTACACAAAGACAAGTAGAGACAAGAAAGGGCCTCCAGCATCCCAGCCCCTGGTCCCAGAACTCCAGAGGCCCAGCAGCTCTTGTCTCCCCCAACAGGCTGCCCAGCACTTCCTTTGAATAAGATACCTCAGTATCTTTCCAGTAAATCCCCCTTTTCTTGGCTTAAGGATATTAGGATTTAAAAATATATATATAAAGAAAACAAAAATCCCTCATAACACAATAGCCAGAAAAACCCTTCTGACAATAAAAAAAAAAAGTAATATATACCATCACTAGAACAATTGAAGAGTACAGAAAGACATAATGAAAATCAAAAGCTTTCCTGTTTCTACCCAGTCCCTCTCCCAAAGGTTAACAGCTTCGGTTAAATGTAAATCTTTCTAGACCAAAGTCCAGCATATATATATGTACACACACACACACACACACACACACACACACACACACAAGTTCAGATAATTAAGTTCGCAAACTCATCCTAGAAAAAGTGCTACATCCTCATTGCTGAATATCACTACGGTCACCTTCGAAATACAACGCACCAACTCCAAAATCTAGTCCACCCTTCAAAGCAATTTTGGAACTCTTTTTTGGAATGGCCATCAGAGCTGTTGTCATCGTATTACCCTTGATGTCCTGAATGTCATCAAAATGTCTTTCTTTCAATATTTCCTGTATCTTCAGGTAAAGAAAGAAGTCACTGGGGGCCAGATCAGGTGAGTAGGGAGGGTGTTCCAACACAGTGATTTGTTTAGTGGCTAAAAATTCCTTCACAGACAGTGCCATGTGAGCTGGTGCATTGTAGTGATGCGAGAGCCATGAATCGTTGGCAAAAAGTTCAGGTCGTCTAAGTTTTTCACGCAGCCTTTTCAGCACTTTCAAATAGTAAACTTGGTTAACTGTTTGTCCAGTTGGTACAAATTCATAATTGCAACAAGTTCACGAACTTAATTTTCAGATCTTGTATGGGGGGAGTTTCCAAAAAAATGTATACACATGACTTGTATTCATCTTTTATAATTGGTATATATTGAGTACTACAATTTTAATACAGTTTTTCCTTTCTTAAAATGCTTATACATTCTTGGCACCCTCTGTAATATGTAATATATATAATAATTATATACATAATATGTAATATATTTAGATATAATATTACATAAATGGATACAAAAAGTATTACACTGTGTTTACTATTCAGCAGCTTTTTGTAGAAATTGGCCCATATCAGTACCTACAAGTCTTCCTCATTTTTTTTAAACTGCTGCACAGTTCCACAGTATGAATGTACCGTAGATCATTTATCCAGTTCCCCGTGGATAGACATTTAAAGTGCTAACCATCTTGGGTTTTGCAATAACATGTTATGCAACAGCGAACATATTTATGAATTTATCTTTGGCATAGTTTTGCAAATACATCTATAGGGTTAATTCCTAGCACTGAAATTCCTGGGACAAAGAGATCATGAATTTTTGTTTTTTTGGGTTTTTTGTTTGTTTGTTTTTTGGGTTTTTTTAACTGTTGATTCCTTTTGCCAAATTGTTCTCCAAAAAAGCATGCACACATTTACTTTCACATCAACAGAGTATG